GTCTGCACCTTGTTTGATCTCAGATTGAGCAACTTGCTTGTATTGTCCAGCATTTTACTTTAAGGTGGAAGTGCCGACTACGAGTTATTGTTGAGCTTGTTGCTTTCTGGCTGGAAGTTCCTGCTTGACTTAGTTGGTGACTTATCTAACTTAGTTGTAGTATTGTTGTACTTGGTCTTTCTCTTAATTGTTGAGTTGAACAGTTACAAGAGATTGCATTTCATTTAGTGAGTATGAGGGAAGAAGGTGATTGCATGCTTGCTATTCCTCTTAAGATGTTGCTTTTCTCATACAGTTAGTATACTAAATCCAGCTTTCAGTAATTGAGGTGAAGGATTGTAAATTCTCAAGACCCAATGAGTATGACATCTCTTTTTCGAGGCTCTTTTGGTATTATGTACTGCATCCATCCATACAAGTATAAACATCTGCGTCTCCCAAGACACAGTTATTGAGGCATTGGCTGTAAGCTTCGAATACGTCAGTAGCAGCTAAGTATAGTGGGTCGAATGATGCTCTTGAGTGCTTTTCGAGAGCAAAGAGTTTGACGGTATTCATCATATTCTAGAATTTAAGATCTTTTGCTTGTTCTGAAAGATCAGTTCCAACCTCAAAGATAGCATCCTCAGTGAAGAATCTGTTCTCAACTTCATCAAAGTTATAGGCTGGATCAACTTTGAACAAGGAGATAACAGTTTTCATATTTTCACTCAATTCATTTGAGCATTGATAGTAGCAGTCGTATCCGAGGTTGTTGGAGTCACAGTCATTGAAACATTTCATGTATTGTTGATAAGCTGAGTTTGATTAGTTAATAATGACTTGGGCATCATCAATCATTTCACCCATTTAAGTGAATTCATTTTGAGTAAATGCTGGGGATATGAAGAGGAGCACTGCTAGTGATATCTTTAGAATTGAAATGGATCTCATTCTGATTAGTTAATTTAATAATATATATTACCTATATCCTCTGAATTTATATAACCTATATTCAATCATAAATCTTATTCTCTTAAATATGAAATCTGATTGTATTATCTCAATTCTGGTCCTATTAGTTATTTATATAGGCTGGGGTTTTGGGGTTTTGGGGTTTTGGGGTTTTGGGG